AATTTCGAACAGATTCCACCGAGTGAGAGTTAATCGCCTTCTGAATTCAGTTTGATTTGAGTTTGGCTCTCAATTTGTCTATATATCCCTTCTTATTTGAAACCTTTGTGGAGATCAGAAGAATGTTGATTACTTACAATTACATTGGTGTTTTGTGTGAATTTGGTCTTCTCATCTCTTCAATTCAGATGTTAACATATCTAATTTCATCCTAGAATCCTAGATGGAAACTGTTTTTGCATATGTTTTAACTTAGTATAGAAGCAAAATAACGTTAGGGGTAAATCGGTCATTTTAACCAGTCCAGTCCTGTCCTGTCCTGTCTTACCAAACGCTGAACAGCTGTCCTGTCCTGTCCTGTCCCGTCCTGTCCCGTCCCGTCCTGTCCTGTCTGCGCACCAAACGCACCCTCAAGAACTTTGTCATCTTGTTCTATATAGAGAATCATGAAGAAAACTTTACATATAGAGAATTTTCTTTAAAACTTGACGGTGGGAGAGAAAAATGATTATTTTATCCAATTTCACCAATGAGATTGAGTTATTATTTTTTATAAATTAAAAAAAAGGTACTGGAATGATAAATTAGAGAATATTATAATAATATAATTTATGTTTAAATCTCTACAACGTAAAATATGTTGAAGATGAATGTAATTTTTTTTAGAAAAAATTATGTTTTGATTCTTTATTTTAGACTAATTATAGAAAAACTATTGAAAATGCTCTAACAATTTGGATGGTTTTTATAACAAAAGTTTATTTAAAAGCACCGAGTGAAAACCTTTAAACGTTGGGGTTAGTTTTGCAAATTTTGTTTTCTTGGAGAGAACGATAATGGAGCCTCTACTTCAGTCGAATTAGACCTAAAACACTGGGTTTTCATCTTCCATTGAAGCAGTTACTTGGAGTCGCAAGGTATCCCCTCTTCATTCTTTCTATATCTGGTAGTTATAATTGCCCTCACTCTTCATTTTCCCTCTTTTCTTTTCGATGCCACGCGATCACAACCAACACTTGAAGATCCCTGAATTTTAATTACGTCTTCTGTATGTCATCTTCAAAATTTGGTCTTGCTCTTATTACTATTCTTGGACCAAATTCGTATTGTTGTTTATGAAATTTTCTGTATGATCCTGGGCTTGAAATCTTCTTCAAATAGATGCAAAAACCTAATGCGTGATGGATATGTTTCTATGTCTTTGGTTCCTTACCCTTCATATTTTTCTTTATTCCTTCTTATTTATGTGCCATAATTTTTAATATCATTCTGTTTGAAGGAAGTAGATAAAGAGCGGAGTGTCGTGTTTCAGCTTAATCGATTTTAGGTATGTCTTGTTGTTTCTTTGTCGCAGTTCTTTCTAATGATTAATCAAAGTAATTAGTGGGCTTTTGTCCTGACTCATGACAGACAGTGATTCGTACAATGCTTTATTGCCCTGTAGATGTGCAAGAGAAAACCAAAATTAAATAAGCGAGCCAAATAAAAAAAAACCCTGAAAGTGAATATCATTTAGTCACACTTGATTGTGATCTCTATCTGTTTACTAAAACATTTTTGATTGTTTTTCTGCGATTTGTACTTGTGCAGGTGATGGATTCTTTATTGAGCCCTGAAGGAGACTCTCAGAGGACTCAGTATGTACTTCTTTAGCTCTACTATCTGAATCTAAGGGGTAACATGTAGGGTTCTAGATTTGATGTTATCTAAAAACTGTTAAGAGTCACAAAACTGAAACAGAGAAAACTTAACAATTGTGGAATAATCTTTTGCTTTTATTGAGCAAGTTAAGATTTGTTTAAATAGCCTTTACAGTACAATGGAAAAGAGAAAAACTAGCAATCAAAAAAGTCAAATCAAAAGAGGAATTTGATAATCTCCTAATTCACTTCTGAACTTCTGAAAAGCATCTATCATCAGGGGATTTGTCATCACATCTGCCAACTGATCATGAGTCCCACAGTGTATGAGCTCAACAACACCATCTCGAGTTAATTCATGAAGAAAATGAAAGCGCATGTCAATGTGCTTACTTCGACCATGAAGCACTAGATTCTTTGATAATGAAATAGTAGATTTGTCGTCACACATGATCGTAGTGCTGTTACTTTGCTTCAGACTCGGTTTCTCAAGAATCATTCATACCGCTTGACTGGCACGCACTGCAGCAGCAACAAACTCCGCTTCTGTGGTTGACAGTGTAACAATTGATTGTTTTTTCGAGGACCAAGCAACAACTCTGGATCCTAGCATAAACACGTAATCTGATGTGCTTCTACGATCATTCATATCCCTTGCATATCTGCTATCCGTATATCCCAACAGATCCTGATTTTCTCCTCTCTTGTAAGAGACACCAAACTCGACTGTTCGTTTCACGTACCTCATGATTCTCTTGACTGCCAACATGTGTGAGTTGGTTTTGTCATGCATCTGCTGCACAAACTCACCACATGCATTAGATCCGGCCTTGTGGTCATTAGATACATAAGAGATCCCACCATCTGCTTGTATAAGGTCTCATCTACTTGAGCTCTACCTTCATTTCGAGACAACTCGCAACCTGGAACAATTGGATTGTGAACAGAATTGCATTTCTCCATTTTGAACTTCTTCAACATCTCTACCACATACCGTCTTTGACACAAGTAAGTCCCATCTGGCCTTTGCAACACTTCTATACCAAGAAAGAATCTCAACCTTCCCAAATCAGTCGAATTCTCTCAACATGGAATTCTTAAATTCAGCAAACATGAATTCATCATTTCCTGTGAACAGTAAATCATCTACATACAAACTCACAACGAGGATTTTACCTTTCTCTTTCCTCTTAATGAATAGAGTTTGCTTGTTGTAACATTCCTCAAATACTTGATTGACAAAGTATGCTTCTATGCGGCTGAACCAAGCTCGTGGAAATTGTTTTAGTTCGTAGAGGGCCTTTTTTTACTTGTATACTTTTTGAGGGCAACTCTTCAACTCATAGCCTCTTGGTTGTTCTACATGCACCTCCTCCTCAAGGTTCTCATGCAAAAAGGCTGATTTAAGATCAAGTTGATAGAGATTTCATCCTTTTTGAGTTGCTAGAGCCACAATCATCCTCATGGTATCCATCCTTGCAACGGGTGCAAATACTTCTGTGTAGTCAATCTCTTGCTGCTGCACGTACTCTTTAATTTGAATTTGTCAAACTCTCCATTCTCTTTGAGTTTAGTTTTGTACACCCACTTCAATCCTATCTTCTTTGCACCAGCAGGCAAGTTAGTAAGTTCCCACGTGTTATTCTTTTCTATTGCCTTAATTTCCATATCTATAGCCATCTTCCAGTTGTCATGTTTTACTGCTTCCTAAAAGTGAATAGGATCTGCATAAGTAAACGAAGCTAAATGCAGATTTATATCTTCTTCATTTAAAGTTCCCTCCCTGCTTATATAATCACGCATCCACACTGGAGTGCTTCTAAGTCTTCCTTGCTCTAAACTTGATGATTCTTCTCCATTTCCAACTTTTGAAGGATTATGGACCGGTGCTTTACTGACATCTTCACTAGATTCTTCTTCTTGGTGCTTCAGTGACATCTTCACTAGATTCTTCTTTCTCCTCCCTAACGATGCTTGGATTATCTTCATTTACATTTCCAATTCTTTTCCTCATCATCCCATCCAATTCAGGGATCTCTTGTTCATTGAAGTTCTTATCCCAACTCTAAGACTTATCCTCCTCAAACACCATACCCTGCTAATTATTATCCTCTTTGCAATTGGATCATAGAGACGGTATGCCTTGCTATACTGTTAATTGCGGTGCTATAGCGGTGAAATAGCGGTTCCACTAATCACCGCAACTGGGCCGCAATTTTGACTTGTAATAGCGGTTTGAAAACCGCAATTAGGAGTTGGACTTTAAGTTGTCCTTTTTAAGGGTTTAGAGTAGTCGATTAAGGGATTACGAGCTAGGGGGTGATTTTCATTTGCAATATTGGTGTGTAAACTCGCTATTCCTTTCTCATCTCTCCTATTCCAATCTATATTTTGCATCTTCTCTTCACAACATTGTCTTCCAACATTGATTGCTCATCTCTTCCATTCACATTTTCTTATGTTCATCTTCAAAATATATATTATGTTATGCATCTATTACATTTATATATAATTGTAATGACTACATGAACCGCTATATATGGACTGTTATACCACCATTTTACCATCGCGATAACCGCTATATCAAATCACGGTCCTGACTGCAATTTCAAATTTTGACCGCTATAACAACATATGTGCCTTGGATTTTTCACCAACTCCCAGCAACACATGGAAAACTCTTGCCGTCCAATTTCTTTCTCTTTTCATCAGGAACATGTACATGCGCCAGACATCTGAAGACCTTGAAATGTTTCACTGAGGGTTTACTTTCACTCCAGGCTTCTTGGGGAGTTTGATTTTTCACAAGAAATTGGAGATCGATTTAGAACTTAGATTGTCCAATTCACCGCATCTGGCCAAAAGGTCTTGGGAAGCTTCTTCTCCGATAACATACATCGAACCATATTCATCGTTCCGTTTTTTTCGCTCAGCCACTCCGTTTTGTTGTGGAGTATAGGTTGCAGTCAATTGTCTTTTGGTGCCATGCTCGGTACAAAACTCGTTGAATTAAAGAGATGTGAATTCTCCCCCTCGATCTGTTCTCAAGCATTTTATATACCCGCCTACTTGTTTCTCAACATAGTTCTTCAAAAGTTTGAACATTATTAGTGTATCAAAAAATAAGCCCACAATTTTCTAGTAAAATCATCAATGAAACATTCAAGGTACCTTTTCCTGTCGTTGGAGATGGGAGAGATTGGTCTGCATAGGTCAACATGAATTAGTTGTAGCTTCTCTGTTGCCCTCCAATTGCCTTTTCTTGGGAGTGGATCTCTGTGTAGATGAATAGAAAGATTTAGATTGAACAGGAGTGACCTTTTTTGGTAGAGAACATGCAAGCATCCCAAACATCCTATTTGTTGTCATGTTAGTTGTTATAATCAAACCTTTCTTTGGATGAAACACCTTAACTTTTCCATGTTGGATGAGGATAGTTAATCCCCTTGCTTGTAGTTGTCCAGTACTCGGCAAATTATTTCTCAAGTCTGGTACATAATGAACTTCTTGAATGACATGAATAGCCCCTCCTATTAGTAGTCTCACGTTACCTTTGCCTGTCACCTCTAGTTTTGTGTTATTCCCTAGCTTCACTTTATGCTTGAAGCTTTCGTCAAGTTCACTAAACAAGGTCTTGTCACCCACCACTCATGTGATTGCTCTACCCTGAGTCTAGAAAATAGGCCTCTTCTCTTCTATCTCCACCTTCTCTTTGATCTCCATCTTCTACATAAGCCATGAGCTATGTTTCTTCCTCTTCTCCTAGCTCAGCATAATTTGCTTTCAAGTGTCCAAGCTTGTGACACCGATAACACTCCACCATAGCTTTGTCGTAGAATTGTCCGCCTTGTCCTCTTCCTCTACCCCGAAAAGTGCCTCGGTCTCGACCTCGTTCTCATCCACCTCTATCTCTTCCTTCTTCCATGCTAATTTTGAAGACCTGCTCTTCACTGCTAGTTCTCCGAAACATCTGTTAAACAGAGAAAGCTTAACAGTTGTGGAATAATCTTCTGCTGTTATTGAGCAATTAAGACTTGTTTAAATAGCCTTTCCAGTACAACGGAAATGAGAAAAAATAGCAATAAAAAAATCAAATCAAATCAGTAAATGAATCTCAGAAGACTCGGTGTCTTTATTCCAACAGAAAGATGACCAGGAGAACTAACGGATACTTTGAAACCTTCTCTTCAAAAGCATGATGTCAAAACTAGTTTCTAGTGATCTAAATTTAATCAAACATTTTTCATGGATTTCCTATTGATCCTGGGGGCAGGGAGTGTGACAACATATCCACTTCCTTTTAATTCCATACCATACATTCTTTTCATCAGTTGCAGCGTTTGGTGGCCCAAAATTGACTTGGCTGTGCCGTTTAGTAGATGTGCACTTCTCATTCTTGAATGAGAGTACTTTTTAAATTCAAAAATTGATTTGGAATTTCTGACATCAGCCATATGTTGGGTATTTGTTATTACTTACTAATACTGAAATACTGAATGTGAACTTTTGAGTCTAGTCAAACCTTGTACTCTTTAGATTCAACTTGGTATGGAGTTCTGTCAGCAAACGATTTGCTAGGTTATTGTTTATTATTATTATTTTGTTCTTTAGTAGAGGGAGCAAGGCGCGACTTGTTGATGATTGGTTTTGGAAACAGGTATCCGTATGTGACAGGTACTTCTGTAATTGGGATCAAATACAAGGATGGTATTCTCATGGCTGCTGACATGGGAGGTTAGATCATTTTCAGTAATGTCTGACACATTATATATTTTGAGTTACTTGATGAAATTGGTTTCCAAAGTTGCTTGTTCACTGCATAAATGTCAACAGAGGGCAATATCTTGATGTCTAACAGTTCATTTGCATTACTTGTTAAGGAATATTCTTTGAAACTTGATGCAAGGGGTTACAACTCGTAAAAGTTGACGTTTGATTCTACTTTAGAGTTCATATGGGTTTGAAACTTTTGAGAAACTTGCAAGTAAAATTCATTGATTCTTCTAGCTAGTTCTTGTCCTTATGTATGTGTTGTGTATATATCCAAAAGTTTATTTCTTAACAATCTCTTCCCTCAGACACCTATGTGAATCAAAGCCAACAGTACATTTTGCACATGAATGCTGATAGGATAGCATGTGAATATCCACTTTAGTAGCAACATATAGCAAAGGTCAAAACAAAGCGATCTTTGACTAGATCAACGCTTGTTGTTTCTGCTAGCATCCCTATTCCACCAGCATTTTGATTTTAGATCATTTTTCTGAGCTATTAAGAAAAAACAGAGAAGCAGGCTCCATTATTAAAATGTGAAGTTACATATTGTCCTGGTGACCTGGTATAAATTTGGTAACCTGCATATTCTTTCCCAGGAGAACTTTAAACAATCAACATGCCATTTTATGTTGTTCCTGAACTGTGATGGAAAAATACCTAGATTGAGCCGTTCTACCGTTGATATGCAGCAAACCATGAATAATTTTTAAAAGAGTGCTCTGAGTTTTTAACTTTGTTGTTCTTTGCTCGTGGATCAAAGCAAGAAACAATACATGATGATTAAAGAGATTTTCATCTTAAGGCATCAGAAAATAAGAACAAGGGACTCATTTGCGTACGTGCGAATACAATCTGTTATTTTATCTTGCTGATCATGGAGAAATATCATATATATCTAGACACCATCTATCAAGAAAACTACTTCCAGAAACTTGCTATATATATATATATGAATATGTTATATGTGTGTATTTTTTTTGGTGGGGGGGCATATATATATGTATATGTGCAGCTATGTATGTAATTATATGTATGTGCTTCTGATACAATGCATGCTACATGTTAACGCTATAAAGTATATTTAATTAATTTCTACAGCAAATATGCTTTCAAGTAGTGGAATTATCAACAATTTAAGAATTGATCAAGCACATGTTGCAAATATATCATTTATTGCAATCTGCATGAAAATCGAACATAGCATATTGCAAATATATCATTTCTTTAGTTGCTTTTGATCCTTGTGTACCCATTTCTGGTATTGGTCGTAATGAATCATACTAATTATCTTGGTTTAAAAATGCGCGCATAATGCGCTGTGATGCGCTGAAGAAAACGCATCAAAGGGTCTGATGCGTTGCGATTCCATGATGCGCTCGCATCACCTACGCATCACACGATGCGTGCATCACTTATGCATCAGCGCATCATGTATGCTGCATTTTTGGGCTCCCTTTTTCAGTTTTTAGTTGGGCTTCTTAGTTAAGTAAAATAGAACGTGAGACTGTGAGAGACCTAATAGAAGAAGCCGACATCGAAGAAGTAGAAGTCGCACTGTGAGAGACCTAGCATCGCATATCAATTAAAACGTGACGTGAGTTGTTGTGGATACTCGACAACCAGCAAAGAAGTAGAAAACGAACTTTTTAAGATTCTAATGCCACTTTTTTAACTACTTTATGTTATAAATGAAGTATTTTGATAGGTAAGTATTTTTAAGGTAGAAATTGATATGTAGAATTAATTTATGAATATTTTGTGAATATCGGGCGCATCACGTGCGTGATGCGAGCGCATCAGCATCACGCATCACGTATCGGCTTCTGGGACCCTTAACGCATCGGACCGCATCGCGCTTTTTAAAACCAAGCTAATTATTTTGCTTTCCCTTAATGTTACTGAAAGGCATCTTTTTCTTCTTTTCTTTATGGTCCTAAGCCAAAAGACCTCCCTGCTCTATAGACCATTATGTGAAAGTAATTAGAACGATTGTTCAACAGAGGTTGATATCTAACCAATTTTCAAGCAATATAACATTCAATACACCATATGTTATAAATCTTATTGTTAAACAATAAAGGACACCCCATCTCATAATTATTGAATACCAAAAGACACATGCCATTATAAGCTAAATTTGTTTCGGAACATTATTACCCTATGCACTTAAGATCCCTTTTGTATTGCACGAGTCAACCCAAATCTGTGTATTCCATTTGACATGTCTACATAGCATGTCCATAACTGTAACAAAATATGTGGAAGAATTCACATTACAAAAACCCATAATTAGTGTTTTTTTAAAGATTGTAGCTACCACATAACAACTGTATATCTGGAAACAGAGTATGTAAAGAAAGAGTAATTTGATTACCTAATTCTGAAATCAAAAATAATTTTGTTTAGCAAAACTATGTGAATGTACTTTTGCTGATTTTTGGTAATACTGCTTGCTGACTTGTGCATTCACAGGGTCATATGGATCCACCATTCGGTACAAGAGTGTGGAGCGATTGAAGCAAGTGGGTAAACATTCTCTTCTTGGTGCTAGCGGAGAAATCAGTGATTTCCAAGAAATTCTTAAATACCTGGATGAACTCATGTAAGTTTCAGTGGTATATAATTTCTAAGAGCAATACTTGAAAGGCGTTCATTTCTTTTAGTTTAACTCTGATTTTTTGATTGTTGCTGATGGTGATCCTTTCAAATATAAGTTGCAACTTTTGAATCCTGAGTAATGACCGCCACTTTTTACAGCTTGCATGACAATATGTGGGATGATGGTAACTCACTTGGTCCTAAAGAGGTGCACAATTATCTAACTCGGGTGATGTATAATCGCCGCAACAAGTTTGATCCTTTGTGGAATTCACTTGTAATTGGTGGAGTGAAAAACGGGCAGAAGTATCTAGGATCGGTAGACCTTGAACCACCCTTTCTTTTCTTCTGGCTTTTTTTTCTGTTTCAGTTTTACTTATTCATAAAAAGACGTCCCTTCCTCTACAACAAAGCGGGTTTATAGGATGCCAAAAATGTCCAAGTGTTGTAATAGATTGCTTTATAGGACTCGAGTTTTTAAGACCGGACACTTATATGTCCTATGTAAAAGTGTTATAATAAGTTCATAGGATGCTTTTGGGCTTCTTGACAAATTCTTTACGACAATTTTGAAATAAAGCATCTTATTGATCTTTTTTATATGACATTATATAAAGAAGTGGCTTATAAAGACAAATGTCTTAAAAAGCAATTTGTTCATACTTGATAGGACATTTGATTTCAGAAGTTTCCTAAAATACTTGTTAAGACATCATATAAACTTAGCAGAACACTTTAACATAGGACATGGTTATTTGGTCCTATAAACTCAAATCTTATAAAGCAGTCTGTTACACGTAAACATTTTTAGCATCCTATAAACCAGTCCCCAAATGGCACATGACAACTTATGTGCCACTTATTTGCAGGTTAGCATGATCGGTGTACATTTTGAGGACGATCATGTTGCCACTGGATTTGGTAATCACCTCGCCCGACCAATTCTTCGTGAGGAATGGAAGGAGGACTTGACCTTTGAGGAGGGTGTCAAATTATTGGAGAAATGCATGCGTAACCTTCTATACCGTGATAGGTCTGCTGTCAACAAGCTTCAGGTGTGTCTTTTCACTTAAAAAAGAAGCAATCATCTGTAGCATATACACATTTTCTTTTATGTTTTTTACATGCATTGAATTACTGTGTGCGTTTTACCTGTCTTTATTCCTTCTCTAATAACCTAACCGTGATCATTGGGATGTCTATTGCAAACCATACTTGAGAAATTAATTCATCAATTGGAATTTTTTCATCCTTCCAGATCCTACTCCATGTGGGATTCACTCGGTTCATTTGGTTTACTACTAATTTAGTATTTTGTTAGAGCATCTCCAATAGATTCATTGTATTTTCTCTAAAGTTGAAATCTCAAAAAGCAATTACAGTCAGTTCCAATAGATTCTCTATTTTAAAGATTTCAACATTAATTTATCATCTCAATGAACTGTTTTTTACTTTTTTTAATATAAAATAATAATAAATAAACATTTAATTTTAGGAAGTTGTCTAAATTTAGAGATCTTTATCCTCTCTCCTCTATTTTCTCCATTTCAGAGGAAGTTTTAGAGAGTCTGTTGGAGCAATAAAATAGTCCAAAATCTCCATTTCCCTGTTTTGAAAATCCGTTGGAGATGCTCTTTATACCAAATGGTCACTGCATTCATTACGCAGTGCTTGTACATGTCTTTATCTTCGTGGATGTTGCACATTTGTTTTGGTTAGACACTTGGTTGTGACTCCATTGATATTGGAAACCACAGATAGCAAAGATTACAGAAGAAGGTTTGACCATCTCTCAGCCTTACTCTTTGAAGACTTTCTGGAATTTTGCTGCTTTCCAGAATCCAACAGTTGGTGCTGAGGGATCATGGTAGGTAATATCTGAATTCCAAGTACTCAAAAACATGTTACCATGATGTTCTTTTTTTAATGTTTTTACAGATGTTATGCCACACTAAATTTCTGTATTAGAATTTGAAGTTGCAGTAAATTGACTTGATCTCTGTGTTTATTGGGGATTATCTGTTTCTATGCATTGCTTTCTTTGCTTTAGTTTTGGAATTCAAATATGCCGATTTGGGGAGCTTTCATGGCTTTCTAGACGTGTTCTTTGGTATATTTTATCCCCTTGGAGGTATACAAACTAGCTTGTCAAAAAGATTTTCAAGCCGAGTGTTTAACCTGCCGAGTTAAGCTCGAGCTTAGTGTAGTTCGCTTAATTAGTGGAATTTATGAACTGAGGGGCTGATGGTTGGCCTTTCGTTAAGTTCTGTATAGATAAAGTTGTTTGTATGGACTAATCTTAGATAGGAAAAGTTTTTGGTGGAGAGATTTTTTATAGATAGGAGCGTGTTCTTTTTATTTGCGAGGGGTCAGTTTGGAGAAAAGTTGGCTTTCAGCATAAAGCTCCCTCCCAGAAGCTTACTGAATAAACCACTTTCTTTATCAATAAGCCATCATCAAACAGTCATGTATAGCTGATTGAATAAATTACAAGTCTCTTTAAGCTCATTAACTGAAACTTTCATAAATTGAAGTAAATAACAATCATTAGTACACTGCTACAACAAACTACTAAAAATAGGAATAACATTTTTTCCTATCACCATCCAAAGCATGCTTCAAAATGTCTAAAAGGATTGCCGCTGCACATATGTTTTGTTCTATATTTGTGCTCTTATGAATTATGATACCTTATATGTATGAATTTTAAGTTATAGTTAGGGGCGGAATCGGTTTATAAGATACGGTGGTATAGACCACTGTGTCGTTCCTTCGTCGTAAGGTAAAAGAATTTAGGGTCGTGAAGAGTGCCATTGTATTATAATGTTGGGTGACACCTGTATATATTTCAAAACTATAATAATAATGTAAGTTAATCTCGGGAGAGTTGGTTTGGACGGCTTTTCTCCCATCTCAGTGGGTCCAAATCTTGTTTCAATTAGCTTTTAGCTGTTAATTTCAGGTCTATTATGTTTCTGAAAAAAAAGTTGCGATAAAAGACTAGAACATAGGATCTCACGTACGAAAAGTAAGGAACTAACCCACAAACGTTGATTATTTGAAAATATCTACGACTTCGTTTTTTATGGTCAAGTGATGCCACCACTAAAAAAGTTTCCTAGGTCTGCCTTTGATTATACCTATGAATTGTTATGTTATGAGCTATTTGATGATAATATGTATATTATTACACAATTACAGAAAATGTAAAAAACATTTGGAAGGGATCATATTTTTATTTTAATCTAATAATTATAACTATGTATATCATTTAGGGTCGTTTACTGAACAATTATCGGATGAGTGATTACTGATATCACTTACCTTATCGCTTGAACATTACAATGACAAGAATCTTACTTGATAAGAGACGTAAGTGTTTATCTGGTTTAAGATGCTTACCAACAATTTCTTTTGATAACCGAGAATGTTACATAATGAGGTAAGCGAGGGACTTTTCTTGCCGGTAAATACTTATCCGATAGATATTTGGTAAAAAGCCACATCAAATAAAATAAATAGAGAAGAGCTGACTATCAGAATCTAACCGATGGCCATCGCATTACAAATGCGATGCTCTAACCTCTGAGGCTCACATAACCTCTGAGCCACCGCTGACCACCATCAAATAGCTATTTTAGATGATAGAGAATTAACTATTTTGAGATAATTTTAATATCATTTTAGCAATGTCGTTTGATTTATGGTTACATTTGGGTTGTGTATTTTATATTATTTTACAGATTAAATAACTATTTTATTAAAGTACTTTTAGTTTTAATTTTTTTTACAAAAAAGGGCATTTTGATCATTTATCAATATTTCATTCCAATTTCAAAGGTACATTTTGCGAACCAAACATATAGATTTCAATTTCTTAATAGATTTCATTTCAATATTTGTCCACCAAGCAAGTGGTCAAACATGACAATATTTCATTCAAATTTCTTTAACAGATTTTATTCCATCCAAAAATATTCTGCGAACCAACCGTTATCTTATAATATTTGACACTAACTATTAAGCTATTCATAATCAATATGAATATATTAAAAGAATAAAATATACCTGTTAAATATTATAGGACATAACAATTAATTTAGCGATATATAATATTAATTTCTTTTATCACAATAAAATATTCTTTTTATCTTTTTATTTTTTTAGACCATCTCTTTCCGACAACATCAATATTAAAAACACAAATCGTGATTCTCATGAGTTGTTTGACAGTTGCTGAATGGTTTAACGTAGAATGATTAAGGGGTCAGAATGATTAAGAGACTCTTATGATATAGTGTAAAATGAAATATAATTGTTTACAATGAAGTTAGACGCTGAATCATTAAGGGAGACCCAAGATACAAAATCATTCCAAGGGTTTTAAAATCATTAAGAGACAATTTTTTTTTTTTTGCAAAGCAAAATTCATCTATTAACGATTCAGATGTTGCCTTTTAATAGAATTATTAAAAGGTAAGCAAAAAACCTCTCAATCATATATATATATATACATATATATATATATATCAAAATTTATTTCTACTTTGACCAAAAAAAATACATACACCAAAAATAATACCAAACAAACTTGCCGACCTTTATAATGGCCGATTGAAGATTCTCCGAAGGGGAAAAAAAGGTTACTGAAGTTGTCACATTTGAACAGCCTTTGCAAAAACATTACTTCAAGATTTTGACTTTTAAAATATGTTGTTAAGGGCTCGTTTACCAAACATTTATTCGGTAAACGTTTACCGGTAAAATTTAACACTATCATTTACTTACCAGGTAAGATTTTAGTTCACCAAAACGATATCATATGTAACAACTTTAACCCTGTAAGCGCTTACCATGGTAAGAGTCGTCACCCTCAATTACCGGGTAAGACTCTTGGTCCTTGTCTCGCTCTTACCGGGTAAGATTCTTGATGCTTACCATATTTATCCCATAAGATAATGTGACTTGGTGTTCACTTACCCGAGTAAGCATTTGGTAAATGACCCTAAATGTTTTTCATAGTCATAACATTAATTTGTTCGCTTTTTATACTTAGGGGGTTGGTTCACATAAGGGAATTTGATGGAATTGGAATCCATCAAAGGAATTTGACTTTGAATGAATTAGAATGAAATTTGATGGAATTTGACCATGCATTTAGTTGGTAGGAATTGGAATGAAATATTTCAATAGAATTGGAACAATCGTTTTTGTTTGGACCATCCCACATATAGCCCCACCCACACCCTACCAACCATTATGTCACTACTATCGTCATCACAGCTATCACCCCGCCCCAACCCCACCCAACTGCCCCCACCACTCCCGCCCACGCCCCACAATAGGTGGGGTTGTTGGGGGAAAGCAGGGTGGGGCGAGACATTGGGGATGGGGTCAGTGGGTGGCAGGTGAAGACTATAGTGGTAGGATGGTGGTTAGTGGTGGGTTGGAGTAGGGTGGGGGTGGGGTAGGTGGCGGGTGGTAGATGTGACGATGATAATGGTGAGATAGTGGTCGGGTGGCTGGGGCTGGGAGTGCGTGGGTATAATGACAACAATAGTGGCATGGTGGTTACCGGTGGGGTGGGGGTGAGTGGCAGCTGTGATAGCGACAATAATGGTGTGGTGGTTAGGGGCGTGACAGTAACGGTAGTAGCATGGTCGTGGTGAGGGTTAGGTTATGGGCGTGACAGTAATGGTGTGATTAATTTGGATGCGAATGGATGAAATTAAATTCTTTCACTTATGTCAAAGAAAGATGAATTCATGGAATTCAAAGATGATTTCATCCATTTTAAGATGTGAACCTCACGAATTTAGTCAAATAAATTGATGATTTTAGTTTGTTTGAATTCTACAAACCAAACAACACCTTTAACTTATATAAATTTAATATATTATTATGCTTGATACATGTATGGTAATGGTTTCAAATTTACAAAATCCAATCAAACCTGAGGCTGCTCCAGTTCAAGATTATCATCTCCATTCAAAGCCACATAGTCTCCATGATACCCTTGCAGCAAATCACCCAAGCTCGATTTATCAATGTTCTCATGGTGGTACGACTTGCACACCAGATACAGGATCGTTTGAACCACGAGCCCGAAGAGAAACACCTTCGATAGCACCACCACGCACAACACCGCAACCCCGACCCTTTTCCAAACCCCCAACGTACGTCCATAAACGACAACGTATACTTCAAACACGATTTGCACCGCGAAAAATGACAGATACAGCTTCGAGAAAGCGACAATGGCCACCCATCGTTTCCCTTTAATCAAACCATTCCCTTTCATCATAGCTTTAGGCCCGTAAGAGCTTTCCAAAACCGAAACAACACAAGCCATTTGCCATATAATGCTCATGTAAATGAACCCCACCAAGTATAAAATCAACATAAGATGAAACACCACGATACCAAACGCGTTATCAGGAAAATGCACCATGTAGAAAACGACTATCAGGATTGCGAGCACGTTGTAAATGAAGAGAACGACAAACACGCACACGAAAGTGACCGTGAGTCTCTTCCAGACCTTTGGGATGACGCTGATGATGTCGGTGAATGTTAGATTACGTGAAGTGTAAATGGAAGCAGTGGCGTAAACGACAGCACACGTTGAGAAGAGTGAAAAGAGAACGAGAAAGGTGAAGTAGGTGGCTTTGAGTAGCCAATATGCGATCCACTCGGAGTTCAATGCGTCTGTAAGTTTGTCGTATCGTAGAGTTCCGGGTCGGGTTATGTGTCTTTCGAAATCGGTGTGCATCATTTTTCTTGAAATGAGAGCAGAGACTTCCATTTGAGCTAGAAAGATGAAGGCTAAAGGGAGGATGAAAGTTAGGGTGAGTTGAGTGAAGATCTTTCTCCATGAGATGATGGTTTTAAGGGTTTCTTTGTAGATGCCAAAGAGCCCTAAGAACTGCATTTCTTCTTGTGGTCTATCCATGGTGGCTGGATTTCTTGAATGAAAAATCTGAAGAAGATGAAGAGCAGTTTTGCTTCAAATATAAGGAATATAACATCATCTCCAATGTAACCTAAGTTCTTATAAAAATTTAGGTATTTTGTTTTTAAGAGGGTCTGAAGTCTGATTTCGTCTGAATCGGTCAAACCAGTGCAAAAATATAAAAAAATAAATAGTTTTTGCTAACAAATCTCTTCCAGCCCACAAACTATGAACCATTTGATAGAGGACGAATTAGGATTAAGAGATACGTTTACCACTTAAAATTTCAGTGGACATTTAGAGCTTTTAAACTCGTATTTTAGAAATAAAACAATACCCAAACATCTGAACGAATCAAACTTCGAAGGTATTAAGAAATAATTTTGAAAAAACAAACAGACCCTTGTTATGTGAAGTGCCTTTTTTCTTTTCTTAGTTTTATTTTCTTGACTTTATAATAATTATTGATATTGAAAAAATAAATAAAATCCATAAAAAAGAGATTCTTATAAAAACTATAATCGTGAAGAATTCTTGGAAAAAAAAAACCAGTAAATGTGTTAAAATTTGTTTTTGTTTTTTTTTATTTATTTATAAAAACTATGTAAAATTTTAGGTTTTATGAAAACTATGCAGCTTTTCTAGGAAATGACGACATATACAATGCCTGCATAAAATATTGTCGTATCTTATAATTTTTATTTTGTATAAAAATCTATTATGTTCTAGGAAACGATTACTACAAAACAAATGAATTCACTTACAAAAATCATCCTGAATAATTTTTTCCGTCAACAGATTATCCACGAAGTACCAATCGTGTGGTAGAATCAGATGTTTTTTAAGAAAATAAATAATCAGGACCTGGGTAATCTTTCACTGATTTGAGTTTTCCAACAACGATTTATCCATCAACTTTTGTGACGGTTTTATGACGAATCATTCTACACACCATAGAGCGTAGAGGTTAGGGTATGTCTTCTTATATGAAGGTCCGGTGTGTTTTTGTATACAAGTTTATTATGTTTTTCATGTAGAAGTTCAATTGTATGTGAATGGTTAGTTCTTGTAAAGATTTATTTCTCCAATGAAGGTTGTATTTACTCTGAAGATTCGAAGTTTTTCTTTTAAAGTTCGACGATATAAAAAACCTCATCAAGGGCTCCGAAACAATATATATATATATATATGTGTGTGTGTGTGGGGGG